ATTTTACCCATTTCCTTTTGTATCTTATGAAATGATGAAGAGGGGAACTACCAACCCAAATTATGGGAATCTGTTTTGAGATTTATTTATATATTTAATTTTACCAAAGAATTTTATGTTTTCTCATAAGTTGATGTTATTCTCTAGTGAAAATGTACACATTGCACTCATTGTAACCCATTAGAATAGGAGCGGAGTGTTAGATGGCCCATTCCCCTTTCCTGGAAAGTATCTCCAATCTTCTGGTGTCACTACAGTCTTGTCATCATCAAGACTGACTTTTCTCCCAGATAACTTAATGACTAGGAAGACATTTGAATTCAACAGGCTTCCTCTGGCCTTTCCTTTGGCTAGCATAATTTTTGGGTATGTTGTTGACCACTTTTCAGGACAGTTAGAGTAGTCACTAAGGAATCCCAATTTTATTTAATGTATCTGCCTAATATTCATTGATTAATATCTGAATTTACTAAGGATTAATTGTTCATTGAGGGATTTTCTTGGTATGATTACATCAGTGAGACACTACTACAGAAAAACATGAGGTACATGTCATTATTAGTGGTTTTCCCACATCTGCCCTTTGGGTGCATTTAAACATACCTTGCCTGGGGGAATCAGTAAAAGACATGACTTCCTGAGGCCAGCAGTACAGTTGTTTTTAAGTGTGTGCACCTGGGCTGAGCCAAATCCCTGTTGTTAGAGTTCCCAACACAGAGTGAGGACAAACTGAAATTCATGAAGTTCATGTGGTTAGTTGAGGTCTCTGTTTAATATTTAACAGGGATTATTCCAGTGAGATAATGCTGCAAGTCAACAGCCAATAACTGTCACCGTCAGTAACTTCACTCAAATTGCAACATACTCTACATGGCAGACAGCATCAGTCACCTACCTCCTACTGCTCTCCTTCCTAAAGTCCACATGCTTGCTATTTTTGAACTTAGCTCATAGTATGCTCGAACTTGGGAACTAAGAAGAGGTAGTTCCTTGGGCAGGACAGGGGAAGGAGAATAGTAATGTCTTCCCAAGGTGAAGTGAGTGAGTGACAGGTGTGGAGTGCTTCTCAGGTGTCAGAACTCCACTGGTGACTTCCTTTGGACAGTGCGGTTAGGTCACCCTACCTTTTGTCCTTAGTCTGACTTCCTGTCTTAAATCTCTCTTGGTGTTGCTTCTCTCCAAGCCCAGAGTGGTATCTTCACACTGGAGTATGGACACATCCATGATAACACACTTCTGCCCCAATCATTGTGCATGATTATATAAGGCCACCTTTATGCACCTATATATGCGCCTATATAATGTACTTTGATCATAGCCCACATAGTGTGCTACCCTTCCCTTTCCCCTCCATTTTCCCATTTCTACCCTCAGT